GCTTCAACAACACTTTCAACAACTACCAATACCGTTCCTTGCGATTCCTTCGTCTAAGTATAGCATGCTCTACCACAAAACCTCGGTTCCGTCTGCACCACAAACCCCGTTTCTAATTATTGAGCCCTAAACTAAGTCACCCTTACAGTGACCGTAACCCTTGAGGGAGCCCTAAATAAAAAAAAGTATGATAACATACCCAAACATCCCAAAACGCGGTTCTCATTGGCCCCTGTATTGACCCTCAAAGCCGAGAGCCCCGAAACCTTGTGCCCCAGATCCGTCTGACTCCAACGTCCACAGTCCGATAAATACTGAGAACACCGAATATATTATAGCCTTTCAGAAACCCAGCAAACCCTAAACCCTAAAACCCCAAACCCCCATAAAAAGCCTAGCCTTCTTCCGGGCTTGGACCGGTTTTTGGAGCTACAGATGGAGAGTTGACTCGGGTTTACGGCTGAGAGTGCAGTCGGTTTTGTGTGTCGGTTTACGGGATTTGGTCTTTAGAAGGGTCCCTAAACCCTATAAATCCTAAGCCGTAACTAAACCCTAAATCCTAAACCCGAAATCCTAAGCCCCAACTCAACCCTAAACCGGGGTCTGGACTTGGGAGTCGAGAGGGCCCGGGTTGGTTTCTGGTTTTGCGCCGGAGGGTGTAGAGCTTTGGGGGTGTCGGTTTGGGAGGTAGAGGGTTTAGGGTTTAGGGTTTAGCGCGTTCCGACTCTAGAGAACCAAGCAATAAAGCCCAAACCCTAAAACCCTAAAGCCCCAAACCCAAAACCTGGGGGACCGCTAAAGCCTAGGGTCCAAAGAGCCCCAAACCCGAAGCTCACTGTTCCAAACTCCCAAACACCCTAAACATCCGTAAACCCTGAACCCCAACCACTCTGCCAGTTGTCAAGACCAATATGCTATTCTTGAACCCTTTATATTTTCATTCCTGTTAAAACCCTTGCAGGAACCTTTTCAAGGAGCCCCCCTGCACAATGCAGGGGCCTTTATAATTGCCTATACTATCTTGGGGGGGTTCCTTGTTGGGGGTAGTTAGTCGATGGTATTCGTAAGTAGGACTATATTCTTCAGTCAGCGCTTTTACCCAAACGCCTCGGATGAATTACAAACAATCCCTAGCTCCGGTTCTGACGGCCGAAACCCCTTTTGCATCTGGTTTGCAGCGACTCAACCAGGACAGAAACAAGAGGCCCCGAAACCCTTAGACTTCAGACTTCAGAACTCTGAAAGGGATCCCTAAACCCTGAACTTCCCTCTTCCCACGACTCCCCCCATCGCGCCTGCAGCAGACCCTGTTGCCGGACTCCATCCCAGCGGCTTTGGGCCAGAGCCTGGTTTAGAGTTTGGGGCTCGTAGAGTTCAGACGGAGGGTTCCCGATTAGAGTTCAGACGGAGGGTTCCCGATTAGAGGCTTTGCACAGGCACCCTTCTACATTCTTCCGGGGTATAGCTAGGATTTTCGGGATATCGGACGTGGGCTTCAGGAGTTCAGAAGTCGGGCAAGTAGCCCGACGACCTGCTTTTGGTTGGGTTCATGTACGCTTTCCATGATAGGGGGCCCTTGAAGTATGGGGTCATGGGGCTACAACTACGGTTTGGGAACAGCTGTAAGGTGTATCGTCTCAACTAGTGGCAAAGCCTGAAGAGTAGCTACCTGAATCAGGGTCCCTGTTGAGTCCACCAACATCTGCGGCACCTCTGATCATACTGGATCTCCAACAGGACTGGAACATGTCAACGCCAATGGGCCGCCTCAGCAGCATCGCCCATCTTCATTCGAAGCCTTGGAAATTGGTCCGGAGTCTGTACGTAGCTCTGAAGTTACCCGAACAGCCCAAGCCCAGCTAATGTCAGCTACCTCTCGGCAGCCACGGCTCTTTCACCAACTCCAAAACAAAATCTCACCACCCAGCGTTGAAACTTGTAACACTGGGGCCTCAACCATTAGAAGGCTTTGGGATGCACTGTAGCACGAACATATAAGCCTTACAGTAGTGGTATGCCGATATGCCCTAGCAGGCCGGCGTCTGATTCTCTTAGGGCCTTAAGGGATACTACAAACATGATTATGAGGTCTAGTATAGGGGCCTCCACAATTAGAACCGGGATTGGGATTTGCGGCATGTCATATCGGTATTATACCATACGCACGCATCTCGCGAACCCGGAGGAATAGCATGTTGTCCATTGTTTCGGCACCTGCATATTGCCGACGGCTAGACTCCTGCGAGAAAGCACGTAAACCTGCTCAGACAAGCAGAATAAGATACATGTGTGCATGCATACACACATGCATGCATACATAGATGCCTACCTACCTACCTACCTAC